TCCCTCTCTTCTTTCTCCTTCCTTCCTTCTTTTCTCTCTTTCTGACTGTAAATGACGTATGCCAGAGTTGGCTTCATACAGGGCAGGTCGCCTCTAGTGAATCCTTTGGAGTTTTTTGAAGTTTGGCTCAGGAATCATGATTTAATTGGGGTGATTGCTGGAATCCTGACAACTGGGCTTTGTACAGATAAAAGTTAAAACATAAACACAGCAAATATAAAAATTTAAAGGGGGGAGGGGCGCAGGGGAGACTTAAAATGTGACGCTAGGATGCTCCACTTCCTGAGAGGATTCCTTGTTTGTCTTTGGTTGCAGCTTCCAAAGGCCTCTTGGACGCTGCTCACTTCTGCTACCTGATGGCCCAAGAGGGCTTCGGCGTCTACACCAAGAAGACCACCAAGCTGGTGCTCATCGGTGCAAACCACAGGTATTTGGGGAGTCCTTCCAGTTTTCCTCCCTCGGGATCCAGCTACTGCCTTGGTTCCTCCCGCCTCTCTCCCTAAAGAGCCCAGGACGCTGCTCCTCCAGCGGAGGCCACCTCCTCCAGGCGTGGCTGCCCTTCCACACTTCCCTTCCACTTCCGTTTGTAGCTCAGGGTAGTTGTAACCATGCAGCCTCGTTTGCATGGCGGGTATGCAGAGGGCCTGGAGCAGCAGAGGGCCTCCCACCGCTGCGCAGAGAGGCTGGCACATCAAGAACAGCCCTCTTGATTGGCTCGGAACAGAGGATATACGTCCCTGGGGCTCACCCAGCCTTCAGCCGGGCTTGCTTTCATGTTTTAAGAGGGAATTCCAGCCAAGGACCCTGGGGGCCTCAGGAAGGCGGGCCGCTTGCTTCCCCCAGCCCAGTCCTTGACTTTATGCCCCATGGAGGGGCAAAGCCAAAGCCACGCCCTTCTCTCCAACGGCTCCTGCCAGCCTCACCGCGCTGTTTCAGAAGCTGTTCTGGGCCGCGGAAGAAGGATGCCGTTCTCTCTTCTTCTGCTCTTCAGCTTGCCTTTTCTGAAGTTTGCCAGCAACGAGGCCATTCAGCGGACAGAGACCTACGAGTACGCACAGTCCCTGGGGACTCAGGCATGCTCCCTGCCCAACTTCCAGGTTTGCATCTCCATCTCTCTCTCTCTCTCTCTCTCTCTCCCCCTTCCTTCCTTCCTTCCTTCCTTCCTTCCTTCTTTTTCTCACTCCCTCTCTTTCTCTCCTTCCTTTCTTTCTTTCTCTTTCTCTTTCCTTCGTTTCTTTCTTTCTTTCTCTCTCCTTCCTTCCCTCTCTCTCTTTCGCTCTCCTTCCTTCTTCTTTCTCTCTCCTTTCTTTCTTTCTTTCCTTCCTTCCTTCCTTCCTTCCTTCCTTCCTTCCTTCCTTCCTTTCTTTCTTTCTTTCTTTCTTTCTTTCTTTCTTTCTTTCTTTCTTCTCTCCTTCCTTCTTTCTTCCTTCTTTCTCTCTTTTTTTCTTTCTCCTTCCTTTCTCTCTCCTTCCTTCCTTCTTTTCTTTCTCTTTCTCTTTTCTTTCTTTCTTTCTTTCTTTCTTTCTTTCTTTCTTTCTTTCTTT